TGTGCATTCTAACTTATGATTGTGCCAGCTTCGTGACTGTGACTGTGCGAGGGCCTATGGCGATACAGCCGCAGGTTACCCAGTCACGGATGCTCAAACGAACAAAGTCGTGTGTCTCTCAGAGTCTGACGGCCCAGGTCAGTGCCTGCCAAGGAGACTCCATTGTCGAGGGCTTGGGCTAATGTGCTGGGAGCTTCAAAACTCAAAGTTTCCTGCGTTTGCCCAGGTGGCTTGTTGCAGCAAGATGGCCGACTGGCTGTGGTCCGTGTCCTGATCTCAGTCCGGCTTCAGTGCAGCTCGAGTTCCTGTCCTGCTTTGATGACTCGGCTTAACTTATCAGATCATGCACTCGTGCTGACCTGATTTCTTGAATTTCTTTTGAGTCCAAGAATACAATCTTTGACCTGGACTGGACCAGGTGCGGTGACTTATTTGTTTGACTCCGTGTGGCTAGCCATGACCTCAATCGGTGACCTATATGAAGTTACAATGCTTCAAGCTTGCATTCTTCAAAGTCACTGTGCTTTTCCAGGTACTCCATTCAAGACAGTGATTGCCCATGCCCTGAGCTGAGAGTGCAGCGAACACTCGAGCTCGGAGCCGCCGTGAGTGTGATTAGGCTTACGTTGGGTTGAGGGATCTTCAAGAGGTGTTTGAGAGCCAACAGCAGCACTTGACTCCCACATTTTTGTCCTGTGTTATTTAATTAGAAGGGTTTCCACAGTTTCTAGCAATTTCAGAAGCGGGCTCTCGTGAGGTTTTGGTTCATGTCAAATACTGTTCAAAGCTGAGCATGGCATCAGTCACAAGAAGTAGCACGAGTGCTGGACCAGTAGGAGTCTCTCGTCGTAGTGCCTAATGAAGGGATACCCGGCGTAGTTAGGTGCATGTGCCGGTCAGTATTGCAGCGTCCGTGATGCCAGCAATATAGGCTACTGGGTGCGTAAACCAGGAGGTTCTACGTTGATCAAAGAGAACAGCTTATGTGTGGCTGCTAACTGATGAGTTACTTGTGTCTGACAGCGAATGAGGTCATCAGGAAATCTGCACGTACTAACTTCACACATCGGGTGTGTTAATTTCGTACAAACATTACACGGGTCGGTGTGGCAGTGACTGTTACTTACGTTTGATTGTGCAGCTGCGCAGAAGTTGCGTCGTCCTACTGCGACACTAACAAATAAGCACGGAGAAAGTTTAAAGCGTTTGGGTTTGTCGGTCAGGGATTCGCGCATGTCATGCGACCATGATTGTGTATGTTTCACAACGTGGCCGAACAAATATCGCTGTGTACTACTTTGCCTTGATGCAGCCATTCTTGCATGACCGCAGTGCGACAATCTGTGTCTGAAAAGGGAAGGGAAATTTTTTTTGTCAGGGTTGGGACAACGTGACTTGCGCATGGCATCATGGCGTTGGTAGCGTGTTTGTTTAGGCATCGCCCTGTTGGCAGTGTGTTTGAAGTGCCGTGTTTAGGTAGCTGTGCCGTGCTACTGCGAAACGCGCATAAAGCGTTTGAGTTTCTCGATGCCAGGAGTGATTCGCGCATGTCACGCGGCCAAGCGTGTGTAACAGCTAACAATACCTGACTTGTGAATGTCCTCATCGTGTTGACATTTGTGAAACTCGGATAAAATGCCTTGTAAACTGCAGTGTTTATGTGAGTGTGTGGTCATATGTGTGTGTGTGTGTGTGTGTGTGTGTGTGTGTGTGTGTGTGTGTGTGTTGGTGTGTGTGTGTGTGTGTGTGTTGGTGTGTGTGTTGGTGTGTGTGTGTGTGTTGGTGTGTGTGTGTGTTGGTGTGTGTTGGTGTGTGTTGGTGTGTGTTGGTGTGTGTTGGTGTGTGTTGGTGTGTGTGTGTGTGTTG